CTCCTCATGACATCACCACCTCCAAGGCTACATCTGTAGGCAATATCACTCATCTCAAATATATTTTACTATTTCTGTCTTTGCCTCTGATTTTTATTTATTTATTTATTTATTTTTGGACAGCTACACTACCTTCATTTCTCAGTTCACTAAGCATTCTGACCTATTTCTTACCAGATACCAAGCAGATTGGAGTTGTTTACTCAACATAAAGGAAAGGTTGATTTCAATAATGAGAGAGAATCTAGGTGTTCATGGAATGTTGTATGAAATTCAGAAAAATAGAAATAATAGAAACAGCAGCACCACACGTAGAATAAAAGCCTGTACTTTGAAAGAAACGGACCTAATTTCAAACGTAGACTCTACTCATCACTAATATGGTGACCTGGGCAAAACCTTCAGACCTCTGATTTTCAGAGGTCTTCTCTAAAATAAAAATAATCCCATCTCACAGGGTAGTTGTGAGGTTGGAGAAGATTGCATACATGAAGTTCTTAGCATAACACCTGTCATGTAGTAAGCCCCTGATAAATTATCATTAATGTCACTCAGATTGAGTACAGCATTTTGCCAAATTAGTACTTGCATGTCTTACTAATGGCATGGCATAACTGGGAGCTGGTGAGGGCAGCAAAATAAAGGGGGCGTAGTTTTTTTTCTGGTGACTAAAAAGCTTCTTGATATTTGGTTTGTTGGAATAGTCTTTGTCTTTCATGATGTTTTGTGAATAATGAAAACAGAGACAGAGCAAGTAAACAGCTGACCTCCCATCCACCTGCTTTTGGACAGTTATTGAGCAATCATCAGGTTCCAGGCTGGCTATCAGTTACCTTTGTGTTCAGGGTTGAGAGGAAAGTGCACGCAGTTAGTTCTGTCTCCAGAATACATTCCCAGGCTGTCTGCTGCCTCCTTCCTTTTCACTGCACTCCTATCCTGGAGCCCTTGAGAGCAGCCATCAGGACTACTGCCTCCCCTAACCAGTCTCCCTGCCCCCACTCTCGCTTAACCATCCACCCATTACCTGCCAACAGTCAGAAAAATTTGCGAGAGCTATAAATCAGATTCAGTCAGTCCTAGTTAAAAATGCTTTGGCAAAATATTTCCACTTTTCACCATGGCCTGTGAAGACCGTGTGTGACTAGACCCTGAGCGCAGTTTCACATCTGATCGCATGCCCCATGCTTTCGGCTCCCATCAAATCAGCCTTCCTGAGTCCCTCCCCCCAGGGGTCAGGTTGCACCCACGTAGCCTGCCGGTCCCTCAGCCTAGAAGGTTCAGGCACCTTGTCTAGGACTGTGGCTGCTTCTCATCCCATAGATCGAGTTTCAGTGCTGCCACCTAGGAGAGGCCCTCCTGGACTACCCCTCTCTCATACGTTCCCATCATCTCCACACGGCCCCCTGCCTACTTTCTATCAGAAGCACTAATCACAATCTATAATTACCCCTCTTATTTTTGTCATTTGTAAGTTCCAGGCAAGAGACACACTGCTTGTCACATTCTCTATTGTATTCTCTGCAGGTGGGGGGGGGAGGGGGGTATGGCACAAAACAAGACCTCCATAAGTACTTGTTGAATGAATGAAGGATCCAAACATGGGCAAAAACAAAAGAAAAAAAATGTCATGTCTTCTCATGGTAAGGGTTAATGGAAATGTAACTTCGTGATCATCACAAGGGCACGTTGCTTAGTATACATACTTGGTATCGGACACCAGCAAGAAATCGCTGAATAAGAAGAGGTGCCGCTTCTGCCTCCTCCAGCCTCTCTTGAGCTCGACGGGGCCGTGGATAAGCAGGGTATGGGCGGCACCCTCAGATGATGTAGTGCTTTTGCTGCAGGCATCCACCTCAACAGAAGAGCTCTTCCTGCAACCCACCAAACACCACGGAGCAGCTAGTTACTAGTCAAATATACAATAGAGTTTTATGCTAAATGTCAAGGTTCGCATAACACTAAAATTTAGTCTCAACCCCGAAAGCAGAGCTCCAGAGCTCACATTCAGGGATCGCTGAGTTATAGAAAGCTATTGAAAGAGATGAGGTCGGACGTCTGGGTGGCTCAGTCGGTTAAGCGTCTACCTTCAGCTCAGGTCATGATCCCAGGGTCCTGGGATCGAGTCCCACGTCGAGCTCCCTGCTCAGCGGGGAGCCTGCTTCTCCCTCTGCCTCTACCCCTCCACCCTGTTTGAGCTCTCTCTCTCTCTCTCTCACATGCTCTCTTTCTCAAATAAATAAACAAAATATTTTAAAAAAGGAGAGAGATGAGGTCACTTGGTGAATTGATGCAGATGGAGAACAGTTTCAAGGACAAAGCCCTTGGGCATGCCAACACTTAGACGTGGGGTGGAGAAAGCAGCAAAGCTAATCATGAGCTTTTAGGAAGGGGAGGATCAAGAGGTAGAGTGTATTACAAGAAGGCAAACAAACAACAACAACAAACAGGACAATTGGTGGCCTAATATAAAACAAAATGATACGGTGTGTGTGTGAAGAATTAATTACAATTTGCTTTCATGTTAAGATAAAAATGAAGACAACTGAAGATTCTGGAAATTTACTTATCTAAATCTATCTAAATCTTATCTAAATCAATATTCAAACTTGGGGGAAAAATTCTCAAAGATCGGCAAAAATACTGGAAACATCAAAAAGTTTCTAAACACAAGAGTTTAGCTATTACTTGGCTGAGCTCTGACTGAGCTCTGATAGGACTTTCTGGTCATCATAGGTAAAACAGCTAAATTGAACAGAATGCAAAAGTTCTTTCATAAATAGGACAGATATTTTCATAGACCTGGGAAAATTCTCTCTCGTGGAGCCAAGAAAGTGTCTCCTCCGAGAATGTAAACCCTGCTCTCTTCAGCTCAGCAGCACTGAATCTTACGAACCTGAGTAGCCTTTCACGAAGCTGGTGCTGAAGTTACTCATTAGTGTACACGTATTAGAAGAAACAAAAGAGAACAACACTTCCTGTTATTGTCAGTCTGTTTTGAGGCTCAAAAATAGTATATCAAAAGACTACCTTCTGCAGTGAAGCCTTGAATGACCACCTATAAGTTCTGCATACTTTCTGAATGATGTGAACATCCTTTTGTCTTCAGTTCTCAGGACTGAAAATCAAGTGAGTCTACAGCACTAGGCAGAGTACTGTAAAATGCTTGAAGCCTGAGGATTCCATAGTAACCTGAGATCACTACCATTATGATGTCACGGATCTAAGGCTCATGTCGTAACTGCCAAACTGACATACTTGTTTCCCTGATTTGGCCTGCACGTTTTGATTTTTTAAAAGTAATCTTTTTTATTTTGAGATAACTATAGATTCATATGTATCTGTAAGAAATAATACAGAGAGATTACATCAATTTTCTACAGATAGAGACTTCCAGACACTTCCATCACCACAAGGATCCTTCCTATTACCCTTTTACAACCACACAAACTTCCTTCCACCTCCCCCACCTCTTTAATCCCTGGCAATCACGAATCTGTTCTCCATGTGTATAATTTTGACATTTCAAGAATGGTATACAGAGGGGATCATATAGTATGTAACATTTTTGTGATTTGCTTTTTTCCACTCAACATAACGGGAGAGTCATCCGGATTGCCACAGGTGCTCACAGTTCATTTCTCTGTGTCTCTTAGTAGTATGCCAGGATATGGCTGTATCACAGTTTGCTTCACCACCTGCTGAAGGAATTCTGGATTGTCTGCAGGCTTGGGCGTTCACTAATAAAGCTGCTGTAAACATCTGTGTACAGGTTTTTGTGTCAGCGTCGGTCTTCTCTCCTCTGGGCTAAATGCCCAGGAGTCCAATTGCCAGGTCCTAGGGTAGCTGCTCTGTTTTGTTTTTTAAGACACTAACTGTTTTCCAGAATGGCTCTGCCATTTCACATTCTCACCAGTACTGTGGGAGTGATTCAGTTTCCCCACATCCACACTAGCATCCACACTGGCAACTGGTGTTGTCATTTTTTATTTTAGCTGTTCTGATAGCTGTGTCATGATATCTCACTGTGGATTTAACGTGCATTTCCCCAATGGTTAGTGATGCTAAACATCTATTTGCCGTGCGGACATCTTCTTCAGTGTGATGGAACCTACAGTAGTCTGTTAAAAACATTTTCCGTGGAGACGGTGTTCCCTGTCCACTAGAAAACTGACCATCTTACAGATGAGGAGGTGCTTCACGGACAGGTTAGACGCTTTCAATTCAAGCAGCTGCGACATAACATGAAGGATTCAAATCCAGCTGACTCAGGAGGTCACTCAGCTTCCTGTGAGGGCCCCCCACTCTTCTCACACGGACAGTGTCTTTCCTTTGACAACAGTGGAGGACTGAAATTTGATCCTACTAACAAAGTTCATGGTTTCCCTTATAGGCACCTCGAACAGGTATGTGAATCCCTCTCTTTTATTCCCCACTCGACTCTATGGGCCTCAAGGAAAGAGTCTATGTCTGATTTATCATTTTAATTCTCACAAACATTGGCACATTGGAGGAATTCAAAAATTCTCTTGAATGGGTGAATGAAATAGTTTTCTGGCATGGATGGATGGGGAAAAGGCATGACCTAAACTAGTCTCTCTCTCATTTACTTCATTCATTCAACAGATAGTGTTTGAACCTGTACTAGGAGAAAGACACTTGCTAGGTCTGGGCAACAGAGAGCCAGGCCCAACTCTCACAAAACCAGGATTTAAATGGGGGGGTGGGGGGCAGAAATTAAACAAAGAGTGTCATCAATAACTGTGTAACACCAGACTCTGGAAAGTACTGCAGAGAAAAATTAAAGAGTGAGATGAGAAATTAAAAGAGGGACCTGACACCTGATTTCAGTTGTGAAGAAGTCTCCTTTGAAGAGCTCCTTTAAAATGAGCTTTAAAGAATAATTAGGGATTGATTAGAGAGAGGAGAGAAAAGAGGAAGGCAGAGGGAAGGGACAAGAAGAGAAGTGTATTGGAAGGGAAGATACATTTTTCAGCTGAAGGGACAGAATGCGAATATGTGACGTTTCAGAGACATGGAAGAGTTTGCTAGTTTGGAGATACAGGCAGAAGGTACAGGAGCATGAAATATGCCTGAAAAAGTAGGTAGAGGCAAGAGCACAAGTCCTGGTAGACCTTTTAGACTTTACTGAGGCCTCTCATCTTAAAACCAAACTAGCACAGAAGTGACATGTAGATAGTGGCCTTCAGACTTTTCACCACTTTTATTTTTTTTAAGATTTTATTTATTTATTTGGGTGGGGGGTAGCAGAGGGAGAGGGACAAGCACAAACAGTGCTGAGAGTGGAGCCTGACCTGGGGCTCGATCTCACAGCCCTGAGATCATGACCTGAACCAAGATCACGACCTGAGCCGAGATCAAGAGTCAGAAGCTTAACCGACTGAGCCACCCAGATGCCCCTTCTCACCACTTTTAAAGGGACAAGTGCTAGTCTGGACATGTTTGATTGTATTAGAACCATGGAGGCTCATGGGGCAACACTTTCTGGCCTCCCATCAAGCATCTGTCAACAGTTATTTAATGTAAAAATGTAGGCAAACTTATCTCTGCACCTTCCCCAATTCCCAGATTATGTCCCATTTCTCTGCCTCTCCCTTCAGAGAGGTTAGAGATTTAGAGACCAGGAAAACTCTCCTTCTAGAATCTAGTATCTGCTTATCAATACTGATATGCATCAGTCTCACTTGGGGGAGTTTTCAGGCACTCCCTCTCTAACCCCCAGAGGTTCTGATTCATCAGATCCAGAAAACCTGTATTTTGAAAAATTTTTTGAGTGATTCTTGTATGTAACCAGGATTGTGAGTTACTAATCTTCAGGAATTAATTGAGAAAGATGTAGTGTTCTGATTCTATCTTCCCCTTGTAGTAAAGCCAAGGAGAGAAAAGTTTTCTTAGAAAGATAAAGGGAGCTTTCCTTAGTCATGTAATAGTTACATTTACAGTAATAGCTAAAGCTTAATTTCTTCTAAAATACCATTGCTACTTATTTTAATTTGATGAATGAGCTCTAAATAGAATCACAGTGATAGGGTTTGTTTTCATCTATTTCATTGAACACTTAACTTTTCACCCTAAATATCAAATAGAAGAGATAGTATAAGGTAATCCTAGGCCCATAATACCAATAATTTTAAGCATGTTGCAAAGACAAGACTATTTAAAAATTTTTTTTGAAGATTTTATTTATTTGAGAGAGAAGTGAGAGAGAGAGAGAGAGCATGAGCAGGGAGGGGGGTCGGGGGGAGGGGGAGAAGCAGACTCCCCTATGAGCAGGGAGCCCGATGTGGGGCTTGATCCCAGGACCCTGAGATCACGACCTGAGCCGAAGGCAGATGCTTAACTGAATGAGCCATGCAGGTGCCCCTAGACTATTTTCTTAATTCAATTTCTTTCTTTTAATTTTTTTATATTTATTTTATTTCAATTCCAGTATAATTAAGTGTTATTATTAGTTTCAGGTGTACAATATAGTGATTAGATAATTCTATACATTACTCAGTGCTCATCATGATAAGTGTACTCTTAATCCCCATCACCTACCATCCATCCCCCCACCCACCTTCCTTCTGATAACTATCAGTTTGTTTTCTATAGCTAAGAGTCTGTCTTTTGGTTTATCTCTTTTTTATTTGTTTTGTTTCTTAAATTCCACATATAAGTGAAATCATATGGTATTTGTCTTTCTCTGACTTATTTCACTTAGCATTATACCCTCTAAATCCATCCATGTTGTTGCAAATGGCAAGATTTCATCTTTTTTATTGCTGAATAATATTCCATTGTGTGTGTGTGTGTGTGTGTGTGTATATATCACATCTTCTTCATCCATTCATCTATCAGTGGACACTTGGGCTTGCTCCATAATTTGGCTACTGTAAATAATGTTGCAACAAACATAGGGGTGCATATATGTTTTTAAATTAGTGTTTTTCTCTTTTTAAAGATTTTATTTATTTATTTATTTATTTATTTATTTATTTATTTATTTATTTATTTATTTGAGAATGAGAGAGGGTGAGCAGACAGGTGGGGGCAGGGGCAGAGGAAGAGGGAGAGGGAATCTCAAGCAGACTCTGTGCTGAGCGCAGAACCCAATGTGGGGTTCGATCCCATGATCCCGAGATTATGACCTGAGCTGAAACCATGTGCTAGATGCTTAACCGACTGAGCCACCCAGACACCCCACAAATTAGTGTTTTTCTATTTGGGGGGTAAATACTCAGTTATGGATCATATAGCAATTCTATCTTTAATTTTTTGAGGAACCTCCATATTGTTTTCCACAGGGGGCTGCACCAGTTGGCATTCCCACCAACAGTGCACAAGAGTTCCTTTTTCTCCACAATCTTGCCAAAACCTGTTGTTTCTTGTGTTGTTGATTTTAGCCATTTGGACAGGTATGAGGTGATAGCTCATTGTGGTTTTCATTTGCATTTCCCTGATGATGAGTGATTTGAGCATCTTTTCGTGTCTGTTGGCCATCTGTGTCTTCTTTGGAGAAATGTCTGTTGATGTCTTCCGCCTATTTTTAAATTGGATCATTTGGTTTTTTGGTGTTGAGTTGTATAAGCTCTTTATATATTTTGGATACTAACCTTTTATATCATTTGCAAATATCTTCTCCCATTCAGTAACTTGTCCTCTCGTTTTATTGGTGGTTTTCTTTGCTGTGCAGAAGCCTTTTATTTTGATGTAGTCCCAATAATTTATTTTTGCTTTTGTCTCCCTTGCCTCAGGGGACATATCTAGGAAGATGTTGTTACAACCAGTGTCTGAGAAATTACTATCTGTGCTCTCTGCTCGGACTTTTTTGGTTTCAAGTCTTACATTTAGGTCTTTAATCCATTTTGAATTTTATTTTTGTGTATAGTGTAAGAGAGTGGTCCAGTTTCATTCTTTTGGATGTACCTGTCCAGTTTTCCCAACACCAGTTTTTGAAGAGACTATCTTTTCCCCATTGTATATTCTTGCCTCCCTGCTTGTACATAAAATCATGGGTTTATTTCTGGATTCTCTATTCTGTTCCGTTGATCTATTGTCTACTTTTCCGTCAGTACCATACTGTTTGGATTATTACAGCTTTGTGATATACCCTGAAATCTGGGATTGTGATACCTCCAATTTTGTTCTTTCTCAAGATTGCTTTGGCTATTTGGGGCCTTTTGTGGTACCATACATATTTTAGAATTATTGGTTCTAGTTCTGTGAAAAATGCTATTGGTGTTTTGATAGGGATTGCATTAAATCTGTAGATCATTTTGGGTATGGGACATTTTAAAATATTTGTTCTTCCATCAATAAGCATAGAATATTTTTCCATTCATGTTGTCTTCAATTTTTTTTCATCAGTGTTTTATAGTTTTCAGAATATAGGTCTTTCACTTCCTTGTTTAAGTTTATTCCTAGGTAGTTTATTATTTTTGGTATAATTGTGAATGGGACTGTTTCTTAATTTCTCTTTCTGCTTCTTCATTAGTGTATAAAAATGCAGATTTCTGTATATTGATTTTGTATCCTGTGATTTTCCTGAACGCATTTATCAGTTCTAGTCTATTTTTGGTGGAGTCTGGAGGGTTTTCTGTATATATAGTATCATGTCACCTGCAAATAGTGAAAGTTTTACTTCTTCCTTACCCATTTGGATGCCACTTATTTCTTTTTCTTGTCTTATTCCCGGGGCTAGGACTTCCAGTACTATGTTGAATACAAGTAGTGAGAATGGACACCCCTGTCTTGCTCTTGATCTTGGGGAAAAGCTTTTAGTTTTTCACCATTGAGTATGATTTTAGCTGTAGGTTTTTATATGGTCTTTATTATATTGAAATATGTTCCCTCTAAATCTACTTCGTTGAGAGTTTTTATCATGAATGGATATTGTACTATGTCAAATGCTTTTCTGCATCTATTAAAATAATCATGTGCTTTTTATCCTTTCTCTTGTTGACGTGATGTATGATGTTAATTGATTTGTGAATACTGAATCACGTTTGCATCCTAGGAATAAATCCCACTTGATCACGGTGAATGATTTTTTAATGTATTGTTGGATTTGGTTGGCTATTATTTTGTTGAGGATTTTTGCATCTGTGTTCATCAGAGATATTGGCCTGTAGTTCTCTCTTTTTTAAAAAAGATTTTATTTATTTGCGATAGAGCAAGAGTGAGAGAGCGAGAGCGCACAAGCAGGGGGAGTGGGAGAGGGAGAAGCAGGCTCCCCGCTGAGCCAGGAGCCCGATGGGGGACTCGATCCCAGGACTCTGGGATCATGACCAGAGCTGAAGGCAGACGCTTAACTGACTGAGCCACCCAGCCGTCCTCTTTTTTTTTTTTAAGTGTCTTTACCTGGTTTTGGTATCAGGGTAATGCTGGCCTCACAGAATGAATTTGTGATTTTGGAAGCTTTCCTTCTAACTCTTCTTTAAATGTTCGGTAAAATCCACCTGTGAAGCCATCTGCTCCTGGACTTTTGTTTGTTGGGAGTTTTCTGATTACTGATTCAATTTCATTCCTGGTAATCAGTCTGTTCAAGTTTTCTATTTCTTCCTGATTCAGTTTTGGGAGGTTATATGTTTCTAGGGATTTATCATTTCTTCTAGGTTGTTCAATTTGTTTGCATACAATTTTTCATAATATTCTTATAATCCTTCATATTTCTGTGGTGTTGGTTGTCGTTTCTCCTCTTTCCCTTCTGATTTTGTTTATTTGAGTCCTCTCCCTCTCTCTCTCTCTCCTTTATGAGTCTGGCTAAAGGTTTATCAATTTGGTTGATCTTTTCAAAGAACCAGCTCCTGGTTTCATTGATCTGCTCTATTGGGTTTTTTTTAGTTTCTATTTCATTTATTTCTGCTCTAATCTTTATTATTTTCTTCCTTCTTTAGGTTTTGGGTTTTGTTTGTTCTTTTTCTAGCTTCTGTAGGTGTAAGTTTAGGTTGTTTCTTCAATGTTTTTCTTGCTTCTTGAGGTAGGCCTTGATTGCTATAAACTTGCCTCATAGAACAGCTTTTGCTGGATTCCAAAGTTTTTGGACCATGGTGTTTTCATTTTCATTTGTCTCCATGTATTTTTTAATTTCTGCTCTGATTTATTCCCTTACAATTTTAAATCTTTGATTAAATGTGTATATTGGAAAACATTATGTAGTGTCGAGAGCATGAGCTCTGGAATCCAATTACCTAGTTTTAATCCTTCCTTATGATTTACTACCTACATGACACTGGGTAAACCAGTTATACTTCTAAAGCCTCAATGTCCTTCTCTGCAAAATCAAAATGATGATAAAAGCATCTGCTTCATAGGGTTGTTGTGAGAATTAAATGAGATCATACTGCAGAAATGTTAGTATGGTACCTAACAGATTAATCCTTCAAATAATTTAGTTATGCTTACAGGAGACAATGAGACTTTTTATTCAAAAATAGCAACAATATAATGGGTATTCCCCCCATGAATAAAGACAGGGAGAGAGAACAGGTAGTAATGCCAATTGAGTAACTACAAATTGCCAAGTTCTTTGCCAGGCAGTTTATGGACATCATCTCATTTGCTTGCAGCAGATTTGTGAGGTAAGAATCATTATTTCCATTTTATAGATGGAGAAACTGAAGCTCAATAAAGTGAAGTAACTGAGAACCACATACCAAATAATCTGCAGAGTCAAGTTTGTCTAATTTCAAAGTCATATAGTTTTTCCTCACCTAAACAATGTTTTCCTTCTGGAGGAGGAAAGAAAATATATTTTAAGCCACATCCCATTTAGGTTGGCTCCCAAATTATTTAACTGACACATATGTGAGTGTTTTCATCAGCTGTCAGTGTTTGCCTATGGTGCCCCTATCCCACTCAGTCTCTCCTCCCTGAAATGGCTGGTTGAGGAACACTTAGCCACTGCTGGTACCATGTCCTAACTCTCAGTCAGGAAGTTTGCATCAGCTCCCAAGATGGACAGGAGACTCCTGTTATTTTACGGAGCCAGATCTGAGGTTTTAGACAGGCAGGGAGTAGGAGGAGTCAGGACTGGGAAAGTCGAATGATTCCCCTCCTGATGTCTAGTGGTTCACATCGCTAAGATAGATACCAGGCTGTGAATTGTGCCTCCTCAGCTGATCCCCATTCTGGATCAGTATCCCTATGAGTAATTTCTCTCCTGATTCTGGCACTCTGGACTTTCTACTACCACTGATGGGTTTTTATCTCTATAGAGGGGAAAAAAGGGATGCCCAGGCCTTGGCTGCGAGTGCTCACTCCACTACCCTTTGCTGCCCTCTACTGACCATACCTGGAAAGTACATTTAACCTTTCAGGCCCTTGGCCCAAATAGATACTACAGTGAGTGAAACCAGGCACACAAAATTTGAGGTGCACCAAAAAACTAAGTAAATAAGATATGATATTTTAATTTTAATATAGTATTTTAAAAAGTCAATTTGCAAAAAATACATGGTGAACAAAATATCTAAATGTACCCTAAAACAGTACTACTAGCTTATATGTACACAGAACCTGCCATCCATCTTTTCATTCAAGAAAGAGGTCTAATACTGCAGTGGCAAATCATGCTATCAATACTGGTCAACCTTTTTCATCACTCACATATATGGGAGGAAAAAACCCAGAAAATTTAGAGTAAGTGAAAAACAAAAATGAGGAGGTCTAAGTGGAACAGATATTGTAACAGTCGAATCCTAAAGAAAACAAGTAAGAGAACAGGGAAAAAAAAAAAAAAAACTGATTAAGAAAACAAAACCAACTAACATCTTCAGAGTCAAGAAGCCAAAGAATGGGTGGCTATAAAATAAGAACAAAGAAAAAGATTTTTTGGAAATTAAAGATATCATCGACCAAATTAAATGTACTAGAAAGTCTTGAAGATTGAGTTTCAGGAATCCCACTTGACTTTGACACTTGGAACATTCATCTTTCAGTTTTAATGACATAAGATTACCCTTTCTTTCTCAGTAAGTAGAGCTATTTGGTCCTTCGGTAAGGAGTAATTTAATCATTGGAATAATGGAAATGCTATTTTAATTTGTAGAATCAACGTATAAACAAAACTTGGAAGACAACAACTGTAAAAGAATCTGACTAATACTAACATTGATAATATAAAAAAAATGGAAGTCTGAATATTAAGGCAGCAGAGACGTGGAAGAGATAATGTCACAGATCTTTTTCACCTATTTATTTATATAGCAAAAAATCAAGATACACTGTCTAAAATTGATGTAACAAAATACAGACGTAAGCATACTCTTTAAAATGGTAATAACCAGAAAAACCAAAACAATGTAACTGGAAAATGTAGAAGCAGATGGATAAAAGAAATAAGTTTCTCATCTTTCAATAGATGCTATTTCAAGTTCATAAAACAAGAAATGAAAGCATTAACATAGGTTTCAGAGGTATTGTGATAACCACCAGCAGAACAGAAAATATTTAAAAATAGGGAGCTGGAAATGAGGAGTTGGGGAACAGGCTCAGGCAGGGAATTTACTTTTCATTTGGTACCACTCTGTACTGCTTGTTTTTTAAAATGTGTGTATGTATTAATTTTACACTATAAAAGTTAAAAAAAAAAAAAAAACCCTCTTTGCAGCTGCAGCTCTTGGCATCATTTCCTTCCCAGCTGCAGTCTCTTTCCTTACACCAGTGGTCAGATCCTACTGAGACAGGAAGGAGTAAGAGAGAAAAGAAAAGTTTCTGCCCTTAATTTAAGTGTCTTGGAATCTTTTTTATTTGTTTGTGCTTGTGTTCTGTCTTTTCAAATGGCGCCACTCTTTGGAATACTAACTTTTGACTACTTTCATCTGTGATGTCTAGAACCTTCTTAAAGTCTTGCTAAACTTTGGTATCCTTCTGTTCCTTCTTGACAAAGAGTAATCCTGACTCATTGGCTCTTACTGCGACCGTGGTATTTTATTTTCTTAGAATCTTGGTTCTGGTCAACTACTTCCTAGCCAGGTCCAACTCAGCCTGCCTAGGTAGGAATGAAAAGTCTATGGAAGAGTGATGACAATTACTACTATCAGAACAAGTAAGACGTGGCATATTAGTAAGTTAAACATAGTGCTAAGGGAGCAGGGTGACGTTCATTACCCCATTCCTCATGCACTGGCAGAGGAGAATGTGTTTCACTCCACTGTTCTGGAGAGAACACACTCGGAGGAATTTGGGAGTAGACGTTTTCTCTAGACCACAATCTTGCACCAAAGTGCCAAAAGCATGGGACACGAGACACAAGGAAATGAAACCAGAATATCTAAATTTTCGAAGAAGGCAATAATGTCTCAGGGTCACTCTCTAAATTTGAGAAACAAGGCAGAGGATCATAGGGGAAGGGAGAGAAAAATGAAACAAGATGAAACCAGAGGGAGACAAACCATAAGAGACTCTCAATCTCAGGAAATAAACTGAGGGTTGCTGGAGTGGTGGGGGGGTGGGAGGGATGACGTGGCTGGGTGATAGACATTGGGGCGGGTATGTGCTATGGTGAGTGCTGTGAATTGTGGAAGACTGATGAATCACAGATCTGTACCCCTGAAACAAATAATACGTTATATGTTAATAGAAAGAAAAAAAAAAAAAAGAAAAGGTCACTCCCTGAAAGTAGGCAATATATATGGGAGATAACTACACACGAGTCACCAAAACAAAACAGTAACAACAACAAACACAAAGAAATACACACACATATTAAACATAAACCGTTGTGGAAGCACAACAGTTGCTGGGCGCTGTGTGCTCAGTGAATACGGACTCACAGGCTGTGGACTCAAGGCGGGTGCCTCTGGCTGGCTTGCCGTGGGACTGAAACCCAACAGTTCCCAGGTCCTCGCTGTCTCCAATAGAGGGAGCACTAAGTCACCTGCCACGCCATTACCTATTCACTTAATTGGGGGACCACAGTTTTGTTTGTGACAACTTTTTTTTTTTTAAAGATTTTATTTATTTATTTGAGAGAGAGAATGAAAGAGAGAGAGAACATGAGAGGGGGGAGGGTCAGAGGGAGAAGCAGACTCCCTGCCGAGCAGGGAGCCCAAGGCGGGACTCGATCCCGGGACTCTAGGATCATGACCTGAGCCGAAGGCAGTCGCTTAACCAACTGAGCCACCCAGGCGCCCCTGTTTGTGACAACTTCTATAGGGGAGATGCAGTCTCTTTTGTGACTGCTGACCCCTTGGAGACTAGAACTAATTCGAGGTTCGAACCAACTTTGAAGAGGCTGAAGAAGCTACGCCCATTCCTGTGAAATCCCAGGACACCGCTACAGCTACCGGAACCCAGGCTCTGCGTAAAAGCCTCTGGCTGACACTGAGCCAACTGTATACGATTGAGAATGAAGGCACTTGGACTTTAATTTCTATGGGCTTTTGTGAGGGGATTTAGTTTGGGGGGAAGTGGAGTCATAAACAAAGAGTGTCCTATTGTTCAAATTTGGGACATTTTCGTGTGGATACAGTCTCTGTGTTCATTTCATCAAAGTCTGGTGAGCCACTTTGGACAACATGACTGGACCTAATTAGTGATACGAAATGGACCGGAGAGTTAACTTTCAGCTTAGCGTGCTGCATGGCGTTCTACCGGACTCATGGGGCCGGAGTCTTTTGTGGGCAGAAAGCAAGATGCCCTTCAGCAGTTCCAGAAGGACTCTGTGGGGAGGAGGCGAGTTCAGGCGTGTGTGAGCGCAGCAGTAGCGGGAGCAGGCGCGGCTCCGCTAAGGGGACTGCTGCCCTGGCTCCCTTCGGAGGCTGGAGCACAAAGGGCTACGACATTGGTTCTCAGCCTCCCATCGTGTGTGCGCGGCCTTCTTACCTTGTCTACATTTGCATCATCCATACAAAATACTGATATGTTTTTCTTTAAACATTCAGAGTGGACTTTAGAATCTTCGCTCATGGTAATGTGTTAGAACATGTTATACGTTTTTCTGAATACAGATTAAAATACATAGTTACTAAAATTAAAAAAAAAATGCCCGTGAGCATGCTACCTAAAGCAACTCACAGGACGCCCGTGGAACGCACAGTGTAATACACTAAAAAGCTTAAAAAGCTGGCAAATATTCAACGAGAGGGATGCATGCTACTCCACTCTCCAGGTCTCCATTCCAATCCTGATGACAGAAGGTGCTGTTGGGCAGAGATCTGGGGCCCCTCTCTCCACTGTCTCTCTCACACCATTCCAAGCAACAGAGAAAAGACCTTTCTAAGACTTATAGGAGTTCGAGTCAAGTGCTTTCTTATTGTGCCCTTGGCGTTCAGGACGCAGGGCTTCTTGCTCCCATGTTGGAGTGGGCTTGCGCGAGGATGCCTGCAGTTGCCTGGCCATTCCCGGCTCATTTCTGGAGGTGTAGTAGCAAACCCTGTTTCTGCTTGAGATCTAAGCCTCACTCTACCCAGCTTTGCTAGGGAACCCCATGATTTGGATGATAACATACATCTCAATCGCCTTCTGTCTCCTCTATTTCTCACTCGTTCAAATTCCAACACAGCATGTAGTTACAAAAACAAGTGAAAGAATGAGAGAAGAAAATGTTGATGGAAGAAGATGCATGCAGCTATGGTACAGCAAAATACTGTGTGTATATAAACATTTAATGATCGCTTGTTATGAAAAAGTGTTTTTTAAAAAATTAATGAAACTTGATACTCAAAATACTGTTGAGTTCTCCTTCCCCAACTTGGGGTTAGAGTCATGTAGCAGTCTAGTCTTTTTGGCTGAGTCTGTGCACACTGGAGCAGGGGCACCCTCCTTTGTTCCCTAGTCTCTGAGAAGCAAGGAGATATACTAGAAAGAATATTGGCCTTGGGGTCGGGCCTGGGGACAGATTCTGGATGTTTGAAGTTGGGCAAATTACCTAGGCTCCCTGAATCTCAGGTTTTACGTGTGTAAAATGGCAACAATAACCTTCCTAGGGTTGTTGTGAGGATTAAAGGAAATGCGTGTGAGTCAGCGAGACTGCCATTCAGAAAGAAATTCACATCCATGTCTAGGTATCCACTGGGCATGTCCCTATCTAGATAGTTTTTAAAGAGGTTTGGCATCTTTCCCTTGCATGGAAGTGGAGCCTGAGCGGTCGTGCTTATATTCAGAGGCCTTTTTCAGCACAGATAAAATGCCAAAACAATAAAGATTTTGATAGGATGTGTACCTTTGTGCAAACAAGCTTGCATAGCAAAATGGTGCAGATAAACGCAGATGACAATGGACTTTATACAAATAAATGAAATGATGTTTCTCTAGTATAAAAATAGATCAAATGGTAAGAGCACAAAAATAGGTGAAACGGTAACATAAACTGACTTGTGTAATCAGAGGGTCAACTCTTGACATTTTTCTCTCTAGGCCTTTTCTAATAGTTTTGTTGCTAAGGCTACACTGTTTTTGCCAGATTGGAACAGCATTGTCAACTCTAATGAAGATTAAGTAGCTTTCCCAACTAGATTTTTTTTAATAAGCATCAGTTAATACTGCTGGCTTTCAAAGCCATGTTCGTGAAGAATGGAAAGATCTTTAAAGATCTGTTCTTAGAAAATGTAGCTCATAAAATTTGGAATTTAGCAGCATTTCTATTCCATAGTTATTCCAACACAAGTTTTTATCACGGTTACACTGAACAAAATAACTTAAAATCTAATTTCACATATTTAATTAAAACAAGAATAAGAAATTATTATTTACAACTTTAGCCAAAAATTAATTCCCTAAAGAGTAACTGAGGTTACTTAACGAACAATTCTTTTGACTAGTGGGTAAAGTGTTTCACAACTGCTCACAAATGCACACTTGATTTATTCTTTGCACAATATGGATAAGTTACAGGAAGTCATCTGAGGAAAGTGTAAATACAAATGCACCCAAAGAGACGTAGAGTTTTGTAAAGCGGAGTAAATGAAAACCAGTTTGCTCTGGACACTCAATTGCTAAGAGGATGTCAAAGGTAAGAGCCATTAGGAAACGGGTGAAGAAACACTCCTTTTGATGTGCTTGCTGAGGAGCCAGATGAGCTTCCTTGGTCATGGACAGAAGAGACCATCTAAACTCTAAAAAATGTAGTGCAGTTTGCACGCCCGCTGATTCCGCAATTCTACTTGTGCACTAAAGCATGAGAATTAAATTAAATAATTCATGTGAAGTGCTTAGCCAACTACAGATGCTGTATTTCCTTCCTTGGATGTCTATATTTTTGTAGCCAGAAATCCCACTGTTAATTTCCAGTAAGAAAAGCTGAATATTACAGCCTTTAAAGTCAAAAGTTCACCTTAATTTGAATATTGCAGCATTAGTGACATCTGGTGGAAAATGAGTTACAATGCGGCATTATAGCTATTCTGATCTGTCCTGTCTAATAATAATATTATCACTTTCATCACATTTTCACATACCCCTTTCCCCAACTCCATGGGAGGAGTATACTTCCCTGCCCCACTGAAGTTTGGCTCAGCCACAAGACTTGGCCAAAATCAGTGGAATGTGGGCAAAAATGTCAGTGTCAAAGTTTGGAAACTAAGCTTTAAAAGTCCTGGCTAGCTATTGCCCCTTCAATGGTAGAATGAAACATGTGACCTGCAGATTTGCATGAGAATAAAACAAGCACCCCAGATAATCCACAGACTTACAGGAAAAAAAAAAAATGCTTACGGTTATTCTATGGTTGTTTGCTATGAAGCGAAAGCCAACTAAAACATGAGATCGTTATACCTCTGTGTAAAATTCCCATCCAGGCTTGACTTCCCTGTCCAATTGATGACACTGGGAGAAGAGTCCTGAAGACCGGGTGTGGTTCAGTCCCATCTGGGGCTCTGTTTCAGACCTCGACAGGCCCAATCGGAACATGTTGTTTTCATTCCTGTACCTATGGTAAGCAAAACCGAGTCAGAGTCCAGGCCAGGCCTATCAGAGGCCTATCAGACTCTCTTGGAATCTTGGCTTCTCTGTTTCACATGGTATGGAAGTCACGCACGTTTTGTTGTTTTTTTTTTTCCTAGCAAATCTTTATTTAAATTCTACTTAATTAACATATACTGTAATATTAGTTTCAGGAGAATTTAGTGATTCATCACCTACATGTAACACCCAGTACTCATCAGTCATTCCCAATTCTTGAACCTGTTGGTTTAAATATCTCCCTCCTAAGGTGAGCTTCAAGGTAGAGGAAAGAAGGCAGGACAAGTTTAGCTGGAGCCATAGGCCAAAGCTTTTCCAATTGAGCTTTACCAACAAAGCTCATAGCTTTGTATTTGTATTTCTTAAATGATACATAATCTATAAGGGGGGGAAATTAGCAATGTTAGAAATCACAAATTAAAAGTGATAATATTAGGGTCATTTAATTTGGTAAATAAAAACACAAATGACAGAAATTTAAGTATTATCAATGATATATTAAGAAAGTTGCTACCAGTGAGCTTTTGTGGGGGAAGAACCACATTATTTCCGGCCACTTAGCAGAGGCATTGTGTTTCCTAAAGCAGTTACTGCTTTCTGAAAAGAATTTCAAACTTTTGTCCCAAAAGTAGTTCCAGAATTTTCAACTCTCTCCATATTTCTACTGAACTTCCATTTCTGCTTTCTTTCTCAACCTAATGTGTCATGTTATGAAGGTTATGTACAGCCAAGAATTCAAATGTTTTAATCTTACTAGTGACCACTTTGTACTATATCTCATGTTGGAAAACCAGACTCTTGACCATACCTAATTCAAAATCATTTCCATTTCTGCATAACTACTTTTCTTATTCAGGCAAGAGTTGTGGGTGGACCTCTAAAATTAGATAGCTTCAACTCTCAAGGGAATGGGCTTTCGCAACAGCATTCACTACACCCATCATCAAATACGGGGACCTACACTTGTCTTGTAGTGAGAGAATTGCCCTTTATTCTTAACAAGCAGGCAACAGGATCAAACAGATCATTCAGGTGAAATAACAAAGACAAATACATATGTGATAAATCTGTGTAGTTACTTCTTGGAAGCTTGCCATGTACTTTCCTCTCCTTCATATCTCAAACTTCAGAAAGGCCAGGACCCTGTTTCATTCATCCCAATACGTGGCACGTTAACAGGTGTTCACTTTGTAATTTTTGAAGGAATGGATACAGGCTATGTGTTTTTACTTTATAGTGAAGATTAACGAGTTAATACATATAAAGAGCTTAGAACAGTGCCTGATACTAAGCACTTAATTATTACAAAATGAGATAAGATTTAGAACAGAGATTAGAAGAGACTTTTTAGAAGTCTGCCTTCAACTGACCTTGGCAAAATAAGGAAGACTAGGCTAGCAATAAGGCTAGGAGTATAGAAAAGTTCTACAGCCCAACATACGCTAACAAATGACATGTATTATTTTATACAAACAATGATGCTTATTTTAAGTCCACAGTTATAAGATTAAAGGGGTATAATCAAAGCTTGTCCATTAAATTGAAAGCACCTCCAGACTGACTCAAGTTTGTATTCTTAGGCCCTGGTAGGTACAAGATATTATTTGCTATACTGAATCCATCCTACTATTTAACTGTGTTAATACCACACCAATATAAAAATATGTTAAGACAAATTAAAATATACATACTTAACTTTATTACATCATTTAAAGCTTGATTTTATAAAACATAAAAAGAAATGTTTAAGTGTTCTGTATCACAGGAATTTAAACAGTGGCAATATACATAGCTTTGTAAGTTCAAGTTATATAAATTAAAATCAAATAATTGGAAATGCTTTTAATACAGAAAATATACAAATAAAATAAATGGCAAAAGGACCTAACAGGAGAAGTATTTCATTACTTACAGATTATCATTAGATAATTTCAGGATCTAAACAAAGACTCTGAATATTCGGACTTCTTTTGCTGTATTTTATATTTAAATATCTCCCTACCTATATTCCGAATCAAGGTACTTGACCAAAAGGTTTAAGAAGGCATTTAGCTTTAGGCAAAAGCTTTCCATCTACAGTTACCACCTTTAAAGGAATTGACATTAACAATGTTGATGTAATCTGCTAGTTCCCTTCTGAACAATGTGCAATAATTTATACCAACCCTGTATAAAGTCATACAGGTACCAAAAAATGGAACAATTATGCACAGTTCAATAGAAGTATAATGTTAAGTTTCCCCATCTAAAAATTAACCAGTGAAACAAAATGTATCAACTATAGTTGACTTGGTTTCAGGAAAACCACATCTGAGAGTTATAAGTACATCACTGTCCTTATCTTATCCTCAGTCATTGACAGGAATTTTGTAGGCCACCATGCTATTTACTTTGTGGATTGTAGTAGTAAATAAACGAAGGGACGGACTTCCTCAGAATTGGTAATAAACTGTGGTCCCGACTCTTCCCATTTTTCAGGTACAACCAAATCTTTGTCTGTATGTATCAGTAGATCAAATGAACCTAAATTGGGGATAAGATCATTAAAGTACAATTATTTTTTTCTAAAGTACAACCACCCTTCCTGTGTCTTTCACATTTGAACCATCTATAGTGTCAGAAAAGCTAGTTTACCTTGATCTCTAATCAATTATATTAACTAATTGCTTTTCCTCAATGGAAATTTTAGTACAGAAAACACTGTACTCCTTTTACTTTATGAAAAACTCAAGTTTTTTTTTTTTTAAAGAGAAAACCACTAAAAATATTTGCAGAAAGTATAAAATTAATCATGAGACAGCATGAATCTAAGCCATAGAAAAGATAATACCTTGGTTCTGTGACAGCTGTATCCCAGTGCCCAGAACAGCATCTCGCATGTAGTAGGTATTTAGGATATATCTGATGAATGAAGGAGTAACTAAGAAAACAAAGACACAATTATAGCTATAAATCTTAATTATATACATAGAAATGTGTAGAAAATAAAATGAAAGAAATTACATCAAAATATTCAAGAGTGAGTACTGTAGAATACTTTCATTGCTTTCCTTTTCAGCACTTGTAAATAAAATGCAAATAGCATTACTTTAGCTTTATCACACTTTTCTCATTCATATAACATGACATTTATAATTAAGAAAAAACTTAATGAGCGCGTTAATTCTTAAAGTAGTAGCTTAGTCTTTTCCACAACAAATTTAAGCCAGTGTGAAGTTGTATAATACTTACAAGAAACTTCCAATAGTGGCAGAAATGTCACTGTAGCTGTGATCTGTCTGATCACTGAACGGATTTCATCTTGGATAGCTTTCTGAGACTTTTCTCTGGGTGCACTATCAAAGAAACCAATTAATTCATTTTAAGTTTTAACAAGTTATTTGAAACACAGGTAAGATTATTTATCTGATTAAATGCTTCCAAAATCAAATAAGTAATGCATTCAAAAGGAGTTTTTTTTTTTAAATGAAAATAAATATATGTCCTTAAGAAACTTAGTAGGCCCAATATGTATCTCTATTATTTCATTTATCCTTCCAATCATTTTTTAGGGTTGTTCTTAGTATCAGGTCATTAAATAACAGATGACTAGAAAACCTGCCAAGTACTTCAAGTCAGGAAAGCTTCAGCATGTCTTAAAATAAAGATAACAAGCAGTATCTAAAATATTGAATCGGTATAATCATTTTGGCATTTTTAGTAATGCCTAAATGTCTAATTTCCTATTGCCTCAAATAAGATGTTAATCGTGTATGGCGTTAATAATTAAACATTTTCTAAAACAGACCAAAGGCTTCAGGAGCAAACTCCATCATTTCATTATGAGAGATAGTTCAGAGTTTACAGGTAAGCATGCCTAGGACGATGCTAGAAATTAGCATATAATGATGGGCATCTCCCATCCAGATAATCTAAAAACTTCAGTTTAATAAGTGTCTAAAGAGGGGCGCCTGGGTGGCTCAGGTAGTTAAGCGACTGCCTTTGGCTCAGATCATGATTCCCGGGTCCTGGGATTGAGCCCCACATCGGGCTCCCTGCTTGGCGGGAAGCCTGCTTCTCCCTCTCCCACTCCCCGTTTATGTTCCCTCTCTCGCATGCTCTATTAAATAAATAAATAAAATCCTAAAAAAAAAAAAAAAGGGGGGGAGTGTCTAAGAAGTTTGTAGCATTAAATGAAATACAGTAGAGCTGCACAGTAAGCTGGGAGAAAGTCTAGGATAATACTTCATGGTTAAAAGTACCTTTCTACAATTCATGAAATGGCCCACCTAGGACGGACAGCATGGTAGCTTTACATATAGCATCATAAACACTAAAGTTTGAAATTTATGGATTTAGCCTAAGCGCAATTATGTTAAAAGTCCGTGATAGGCAAAATTCTTTCGTGAGCACAATTTGTGAGCCCAATCCTTCTCCACAGGAGATTAAAGGTCACATCTAACATACTTAGAAACAAACTACTTTATATGAAACTAGTTCAATATAAGTAGAACTCATCTAGTAAAAGAAAACAGTTTTGGAAAAAGATCTGTAAAAATGGAAGCAATTTACTTCATACTTACCTGTCATCTTTGGCAGTCTTGTCACACTCAATATCAAATTGCCACCTTTCAAGTACCTCACCACTTTCAATATTTGAGATGACAACCACCAGTTTCTGAACTGAACACTTGTATAACCAATCTCAATACATAACAAGGAATCTTTTTTGTTTCACTGCATTACAAAACAACTCTCTTCCCAGGTCTCACTTTCTATCCTCAGCAAATTCCTACCGCTAGTATTTTGGAACTCTGCCAACCTGTACAGAAAACCTGCCCCACAATAACCTAGCTCCTGTTTTCAAATTCTCAGTATTTGTACCAGATATAGTACTGAGTGCTGAAGACAGAGTAGAAAACAGGAAGTACACCCTAATCCAAGTAAGATGCAGGAGATGGCCATTAATCTAATCACTGCACCGATAAATATAAGATTCTAATTGTGGTAAACGCTATGAAGGTGCAGTATGTGACGCAATGAGAGCATAAGAGAGGAAAATTGGACTCACTCAGGGAGTTCTCACTTAACTTCAGTTCTACAAATAAATTATCATTAAATATGCAAAATGATACAGAAAAGAGTACAGGTCTTAAATATTGAAAAGGGAAGAGCATCTGACCAGAGGATTGAAAGAAGGGTAATACAACTGCAGTAAAGAAAGGGGAGAATGAACAAGGTCAGTTTGTGTAGGATACACAGGGGTCAGACCATGCAAGGCCATATGGGCCAAATTAAAGAAGTTACACTTCAAGAACCAGGGAAGTCATTACTGTATTTGAAGTATGGTGTGATGTAATTAAATTTGTATTTCAGAACTATCCTTCTGGCTGTGATGTGGAAAGCAGAGTAGAGGTAAAGAGGGGATCTAGAGACACCAATTAATTAGCAATTCAAGCAAGAGGTAATGAAGGCTTAGAGAAGGATAAGCTGGTAGAGATGGATCAGTAGATAGATTCAAGAGACTTCATGGTTAAAACTGTTAGGATTTATTGACTACTTATGAGTAAGCAAGAAGAAAGACTGAGATAGCTCCCAACTTCCTAGTTTATATCGCTAGTTGGATGGCTGATCCATTCACTGAGAAAAAGAATGCAAATGGGAGATGATGCTTAAGTTTTAAGATTTTATTTTTAAGTAATCTCCACACCCAACATGAGGCTGGAACTTAATATCTCGAGATCAAGAGTTGCATGCTCCATTGACTGAGCCAGCCAGGAGCGCCTTAAGTTTAGTTTTCAGGTATCACTGGGATAGCCAGATGAAGATATCAACGGAGCCACGAAATATATGAGCACAATTAGGAGAATTGGGTTGGATGTACATTTGTGAGTCAACTACACCAAGGTTGTTAGTGAAGCTATGTACATGTCAGAGATCATCCTAGAGAGAGATTATAGTGAGAAGAGGGCCTCAGGACAAGCCCTGAATTAATCTTGGAAATTGGGATAGTATACTCAGGAATCTGTAGTGTTTTTTTTTCTTTTTTTAAGAGACAAAACAATTTTGTAATATTTAGGGTTTGTGGGCCACCTAGGTCTCTGTTGCATAGTCTTTAAAAAACAGCCCTTTAAAAATCTGAAAACAGGGCGCCTGGGTGGCTCAGTTGGTTAAGCGAGTGCCTTCGGCTCAGGTCATGATCCTGGAGTCCCGGGATCGAGTCCCGCATCGGGCTCCCTGCTCAGCAGGGAGTCTGCTTCTCCCTCTGACCCTCCCCCCTCTCATGCTCTATCTCATTCTCTCTCTCAAATAAATAAAATCTTAAAAAAAAAAAAATCTGAAAACATTCTTAGTTTGCAGGCAGTACAAAAATAGCCACTTGCTAGACACGGGCTGTCGTATGTATCAACTTTTTCTTGACATATATCAACTTTTTCTCAATTTAGCTCTGAAAAGGAAGAAATTGGGTAGTAACTTAAGGATTTGGGGTGGGTGGAAATTTTTTTCTTTTAAAACTGAAGAGAGATCAAAACAAAGAAATCAAAAATACCAGAGAAGAACTAGGATAAAATCCTTAAGGCTAGAAGAATGGGGATTCAGATTGAACAATTTGCCTCTAAGAAGAGCAATTCCTCCATTTTAACTAAAATAAAAGGGAGAAATTAAAGAGGAAGGTCTGCATACATCCGAGGTGAAGAAATATCCTCAGTGTAGTCTTAAAGGAGACAACCCAAAAACCAGTAGCTTAGGTGGGGCTTGCTTCTCCATCAAATTAAGATGATATAGATTATTAGTTGCTTACTAATAATCTTACTTTTTAGCCCTGAAGATAATCCAAAAAAAAAAACCCAATTAATCTAATTTTAAAAATAAAGCTACTTGATACAAAGAAATATATATGACTCATGAATTAAGAAAAAATGATGACTAGTGTTTTTTGGAACTAGTTTTGGAAGATCAAATGGGGAGCTAGGGAGAAACATCCTACAACAGAAAAATTAGAAGTGAGAATCCTAAGTAGAGAAAAATATGAGGGGAAAAAGGAATAGATGGAGAACAAGTATTGATTCAATACAGTAATTTCTTGAGCTAAAGAAAAACAGTGAGTGTTCAGATAGAAAAGGCTTACTGATTAAAGGCAGGATTTTAAAAAAGACAAATGGAAATATATAAAAAATAAAACTCTACTGGGTGCTCTATTACTTAGTAGTTCTTTTCTTTAAGTTTAGTTTCCAGGTTGGATCCAATTTTATTTTCCTTTAAGTAATGATGGCTTTAAACTCTAGGCAGTTACAGAAAATATATGTTAAAAATATACAGTGGATTTTTCTCCGATAGTGAACACCATCATAAGGACAGAAAATTCCAACTTGTTCCATCTGGCTACATGAACTGCAAAAATCATTTCTAAGGAAGTTGATGGAGACAGTTTTGTGAAGCCATATCAGATTCCTAATATCAAAATATTCAACCCACTCAAACTGCAGTATGGGAAGGGTGGACTTTCTTTCAATTTATATATTATTTGCTTCCTTCCAATTAAGAATCACTATATTTGAGGCTGTAGTGTTTTATACCTTTTTGTACAGAGCTGAAAAATGACCACCAAGATGCCAGAAAATATGGGTTTCTACAAGGCCTGCAAAACTCAAAATGGTTTGCAACAATTAAATACCTTTCGGCGGTTCCACCACATTATTTAGGTATTTTATGAGCTCAGGATCCGTTGTTACAAGCAAGGTGAGTCCATATTTCTGCACTCTATTAAAGGTTTCAGATGGATATATGCCACGCTGATATAAAATGCTGTTGATGCCAAATGCTGGAAACAAAAGGAATGTTAAAGAAAAGTCATTATCACTTTGTAACTCTGGAAAATAAAACATATTTAGATGTGGCTACGTTTCATTAATGGTATAAAACCATAAATGCCTTAACGTGTTTGTGGGTGTTTTGCTGAAAGCAGAGTAGGTAAAAAGTGGCATTAAACATTCTTAAAACCTTGCTTCTAATTAAGAGAGAACACGATACCTGCATTTCTGTGGCAAAAAAAGAGAAAAGCGCCAAACGGCATTAATCTACTGTCAAAGTAGTACTACAACTCACTGTAATCCAAGTCCCAATTCAGATTATGTGGTTAGAGGGTGTCAAAATAGGCTTTTGCATCTCAGTTAGCAACTGATTAACTGTTCTCTGCAATGCTCTCAGCAAACCTTTCCCTCTTTTTCCTCCTTTTCTCCTCACAAGTCCTGCCAGATTCTATCAGAAGGCACAACTGTCCTGGTCCGGAATGGCGTTTCCTAAATCTAGTCCATCACCGCCAATACCAGAATCAAAGAGGGGCCGAGGGGTTGTTAAAAATATACGTGGCCCCCACCCCGGCCCTACGCCCTCTTAAGTCGCGGAGGCTGGGGGCGGGCGGAAAGGGCCTGGCTCTGTAGTTGAAAGCAACGCTGCAGGTGGAGGGGCTACATCGCGCCGCAGGCCTCAGCAGCACCTAGGCCTCAAGCTCCACCATTAGCAAGGAGCCCGGAGGCGGCGTCTGCATCCGCTTCTTCCTAGATTCTCCCGCCGGGCAGGAGGCTGGGGCAGAGAGAGCTTAATTCTCGGCCTCGCGGCCTCGCGGCCTCCCCTCCGCCCCCTACCGCTTCCCCCGCCTCCGTGGCTGAGCCACGGGCCTACCGGGCGGCCTGGCCTCAGTTCACCCCGCCCTCCGGCCTGCGCGAGGAGGACTTACAGAAGAACTCGGCCACGGTTTCGGCGCTCCCGCGCAGGGTGATGCCTTGCTCCCGGGAGAGCTGCAGCGCCATGGCCAGTCCTACAGACGAAGGAGTGCGCTTCCCCCCGGCAGAGAGCGACGGCGGAGACGCCCACAGCAGTTCCCCGCCACTCGTTTCAAAAGTAACGGCGCAGCACGCCCTCGGGCCTCGGCGCAGGCGCGATGAGCCTCTAGGCCCCGCCCCGTGGGGCGGGGCCTGCAGGTCCTCTGGGCGCTTTTCGGAGCTGGCCTGTCCGCAGGCGCAGGGGGTAGGCGTGGTCGCCCAGTTCTGGGTGGTCAAGCTCCGCAGGGTCCCGGCTGGGCGTGTGTAGTTGTGGTCTACTAGACCGGCCTGAGGGAAGAAGACGCCAAAACCTGGTTTGGGTTTTTTTTTTAAAGATTTTATTTATTGGGGCGCCTGGGTGGCTCAGTCGTTGGGCGTCTGCCTTCAGCTCAGGTCGTGGTCCCAGGGTCTTGGGATCGAGCCCCGCATCGGGCTCCCTGCTCCGCGGGGGGCCTGCTTCTCCCTGTCCCACTCCCCCTGCTTGTGTTTCCTCTCTCATTGTCTCTCTCTGTCAAATAAATGGATAAAAACCTTAAAAAAAAAAAAAGAATTTATTTATTTGAGAGAGAGAGAATGAGAGAGAGCACATGAGAGGGGGGAGGGTCAGTTTCAGATATTTTAAATACTTAAATATTTACGTGGAATTACTTTAAAAGAAAATTTTGTTGCACACCATATTCAAAATGCTAAAAATTGTACACCTTGAGGTGTTGAAAACATGATCTTATGAAAATATCAGCCATTTTCACAGATCTGAAAAAAAGCTACTGAATTGTACTATATGCCTACTTAAGTTTTTGTTAGCTAAGCAAATAGATTTATTTTGAGATATGCAAATATGAATAATTGCCACTGCATTAATTCTACCACATTGTTAGGAATCATGACCTTGCATTGCAGACTCTAAAACGGATCTGAATTTGAAACCCTGAGAACACTAGCGATAGAAGGGCAATGAGAAACATCATTATAAGGGCTCCTACAGCTTCTTTTAGGAGGAAAGAATCTGATACACATATGAACCCTGTTTATAAACAATACAAAAAGAAAAGGTCATTACTGCATCAGAATTACCATCATAAAAAATATTATAAATAATATTAAAGTCACACTGAGTCAATAACCACAGGGTTTTATTATCTTCAACACTACTGACAGCTTAATAAAATATGCTTAACAAATCATTTGTTTGAAAACTGAAAACGATATTCCTATGTAATTACAGAAACAGTGTTTTTAAAAAGTGGATGGCAATATTTATTTTATATCCATCATCTGATTTTAATACAAATATCTTGCCAATAAAAATGTTACAGCTTTTAGAGATAAGAAAAAAATATGAAAGAAAGAAAAGAGAAAAGAAAAAAGTCTCAAACACAGGACCCAGAATGTCAACTAATTCAGCACAGTTTTGCAGTGTCAAGTAAAAAGTCTCTCATAGAAAGTTACATGGAAGTGTAAAACTTCGGTTTCTGGACTTTGATCCAAGCGGTCAAACTGGTCCTCATTAGTAACTCCTATTTCCATTATATGTCAAATATTCTCAAGCTTTTGCCTAGTACAAAACAAAGCAATAAGAAGTCAATCACGTTACCCCTACAATACTAAATGATCTAAAACATAACCCACAATGGCAGAAATGATTAGTAACTAATGAAAGGTAACATTATTTTAATATGCTGTCAAGAATAACAACAGCTGTTAAAGTGGCATTAGCACCCGGAAGCCTTCATTTGCAAATGCATGAAGATTAGAGCCCTTAATTAACACAGTAGTATCTCAGGCGGGTAGAACTGCAAAGTTGTCTAGAATGGTGAGGGTGGGAGTTTCCATATGTTGTAGTTTACTAGTCTCCAGTTAATTTTTATGCCAATAGATTATGTTCTGAATTGTTCAACTGACACTCAAATTCACATAAACAGGCTGTGATTACTAAAAAGCATCTATGCTCCAAGCTTGTAGCTTTGAACTAGGTGCTTAGCTCTGTATTTGAAGATAGTTATAGGAAACAATGTAATATAGCAGCCGAACTGCTTTCAAGGTCAACCAAAATTCACGGGTATTTAAATGAGAATTTAGGGATGCCAGAAACCTTCATTCTGTTCAGTGACTACTACTGAGTACAGATCATTCAGTTTGGGAATAGGATAAAAAAGCATGCATGAATGTCATGCATGGAAGTAGTTCCATCAACATGCCTGTTTACCGGCACAGATGGCCAATCTAAGTGAATCCAAATTTATTTTAAATTTAAAAACATGTTAAATGTTTCTACAGAACTGTCTCATGGGGTCCTGAATCACACACAGTACTCATTTTACACTTACAGAGTGTAACAAACAGGATAAAAGCAGAGTAACAGCTTCTAGTTAAAAGAAAAAAAAAAAAATCCTAGCTATAAAGTTAAAATGTCTGCAATAAGTTTTTACCACAACCATATGAATCACACTGGGTTTAGAAGTTTGGAATTTTTATAATCAACTACTGTCTAATCTCTCAATCTTAAATCTCTAGTTAATGCCACCAAATATAAGCCCAAACAGGAACCTCTGACTACACACAAGCTCTTAGATCGTATTCTTTAAACTGACAACTTTCAGCACTTTATACTTAATGAGGGCCTGTACTACTCTTAAATATTTTACACTTTCGTTTTCCAAGTTTTACTCAACATAAACTCTTAGAAATATATAAGAATATATATACACATACATGTCATAGAAAGTGGTCAGCCTATTGTCAACATCAACTATAATATAAAAACCGTAACTAAAAAAGTCTTTATATAGAGTTTCAGATGATCTGAATTTTACACAGAAAAGTGTAACTTTGAGAAATGAGGACTGTAATCCTGTGCTACTTGGGAGAAAAGGTAATGTGAAAAGAAAATTAAATGTAACCCCTTCCATTTAACTTCCAATAAAATGTTACTTTCAAAGATTTGGCAGGCTCTGAGTGAAGTGTTCTTATGTATGACTACTTAAAAAGATCACCAAACTATCCTAAGTTTCTGTGTTTAAAGGGAGAGAAGGAAAAAAAGAAGAGGACACTGATGTTGATTTGTAAGACAAATCACTTTTTTCTTTCAACTAATAATCTGCCTACAGAACATCTCCAAAGAACAGCCTGACACACTGAAAAAAATCAGCCCAGCTCTCCTGCCCGCTCCCCATTCAATGGGGGCAGAAAAGTGGAAGTGTGCAAGGGTGAAAGGAAACTAGGGACAGATGGCCTCGGAGTAGCAGGTGACCTTTGAAAACTGGGGGCCCACAACAATCAATAATTCCAGATCTAGATGGCCTTCGTGCCTCACCCCGAACTCGCAGGAAACTGTCCTTTGAAAAGAAACCACTTTTCTTTTCAGGGTTTATCCTCTGGTTGCTCCAGATTCAGATTTTGAAGGAAGACAGCCAAAGCGGGGAAAGAGGACTTTAAAAGGAGGGCGGAGTAATTAAACAGAAGAGATAAGATTTGCCCTAAGCTATCGCCTCGGTCCAAAACCCCCGAAAGGGATGAAATCGACACAAACTCGTTTAGGAGAAACTGCCTTAAAAAGAGCCCCTTCTAAAATCCCAAAGGAATACACCGTAAGAGAATAAAGGAAGACAAAAATATCAGACAGTCCATTTTCAATGAAGCATCCCTCTGCCCCCCCGCCCCCGCTGGGCGCCCCCAGCCAGCACCCAGCCCCGCGCCCCCAAGGTAAAGTGGCAAGTGGGGGGATGCTGAAGGGACTACCTTGTTTTGTCTCCAAAGGGCAACACAGCAAACATAGGAAGGTCGAAGTGCAGACCACGCGGCCTCCGCAGACTCTGGACTCCGGGAGGCGCCGGGGGGCGACGACGTGCCCAGGGGAGGCGGTGACTCCAAGCCTGCTCCCTTACCGACCCCGCCACCGGGCCGCCGCCCGCCGCAGCCCGCTCGCTCCGCGCTGCGCCGCCCCCTGGCGGGGAGCGCCCGGCAGAGCGGAGGCCGAACGCCGGCGGGGGGGAGCCCAGCGCCGAGCCTCGGCCGGCCGCTCCACCATCACCGCCCTGAGTGCGCTTTCCTGGCGGCCAAGGCAGCCAGCGCCGGCTGCCCGACGGCCGCTGCCTGGAGGCGGCGGCGGCGGCGGCGGCGGGTCCGGGACTCTTCTCCAAAGAGGCGCGTCCTGGAGTCAGTCGGAGTCCGCGTGTAGAAGCCTTTGCCCGCGCAGCGGCTTCTCACCAACTCCTCAGGCTTCAGGGCATCCGCCCGCCTCCACTCTCTGCTCCGGCCCCTCCTTCCTCGGCTTCAACCTCAATTCCTCCCCAACTCTACGGGAGCCTTTCCCACGCGCGCCCCAACTGCCCCCCGGGCAGCCACCTCCCAAAGGACAGGCACCCTCCTCCCCGCCCTCGGCAGCGGCCGCCCGGCGCTTGGCTCTCGACCGGGAAGAGCTGGCCTCTGGGGTCGGCTGGGGCTGCGCGGGACCCGTCAGCGCCCCGCTGTCGGCTCCCGCCGCGCCTCCCCAGCGCCCTTTGTGTGCGCGCCGCGAACCCCTCTGCGGAGCCCTTTCAGCGGCGCCGCCTTGGGAGCAAGAGAGAGTGAAAGGAAGCGCCGGGCCAAGCAAGGGACTGGAAAGGGGCAAAAGGCGACAGCGCTTACTCTGGGAAGACTCCGGCATGTTGCTGCCTTTGGGCTCCTCGTGGTCTCGCCCCTACCCCGACTTCCCCGCCCGCCAAGGGCCAGGGCGAGGGGGGACGGGGGAGGAGCGGAGCTGCTGGGACCGAGTTGGAAATGGTGCTTCCGGAGCCGCAGGGAAGGGGCTCAAAACTGTTTTGGTTTCGCTGAGGAGATTTAGGGGGACTAGGAGGCTAAAGAAGGGCTGGGGGAAGGCCCGTGAGCGCGGATGTATGTAAATAATCTTGCTCTCAGGGAATACCGGGGCAGCCGGGCTGTGTGTGTGTGTGTGGGGGGGGGGTCCACATGTACATTTTTGCATTGAACTTTTTGAGCAAGTTGGATCGAATCCCACGCTTGGGCTTTTCGACTGTACTAGCCATAAAGTCGAGGTGTCTACACCCTAACAGGACCAAAGACCTACTTCAAAAGCAAAGGGCCTGGGAACCGAGGTCGTTTAATGGTAAAGGAAGAGGAAAATTCAGTAAGGGAGAGAGATGAGCCCCCAGGTCACTCTCAGCGCCCCGGGTGGGTCTTCCAGGGGTCCTCTTCTTACCTGGTGGCTTTCCTAACAAAGTAAGAGCAGGTAAAGTCCCAGTGATCATCCAGCCACGCTTCCACGGAATCCTGGTCCCGCTGCAGCTTCGACTCCCCGGAGCCGGGGCTGGCCCGCTCCATGATCCGCGCCCAGCGTCTGTGCAGCTGGTTTGTGCCGTTTTCCACCCCAGCTGGGGTCTCTCCCTCGGAGGAGCCGGCCTCTGCCCCGAGACCCTCCCCCTCCGCCTTGCGCCGGTCCGGCTGGCTTTTGGCGAAGCTGCTCCGGCGCCCGGCCAGCCGCTCGCCACGCCCCACCTCTCCTGGTGATCACCGCTCCCAGGTGCGGCGGGTGGGGCAGGCGCAGCAGCCGCGCGGCCTCGCCGGGGTCGGGCGGAGGCTGGGTCTCGCCGTCTGTCGGGTCCCCAGATTCCAAGGCGGCGGCGGAGGCAACTGGCGAGCTCTCCGGCCGCTAAGTGGCCGCCGCTGGAAGGAGGCCGCTCGGCCGCTGGGGTGCGCTGTGGGCTGAGCGGGTTCCGGGGGAGCGCGCAGAGGTGACTGGGGGTGTGTTCGCAGAGTGCCCCACAGTACGAAAGGGAGAGTCGCGATGTGTGCGCCCATCCCAAGTCCTGAAAGCTGGAGTTAGGGGAACCTTCCACCAAAAGTAAGAGGTGCGGCTACCCTGGCGACTTTTCTCAGGTCTGAGTGAACAGTGACCGCCCGGCCTCGCTTTCCTCCCCAGGGCTTGGGTCTGGAAGGTGCAGGGATCGACCTTCCTCCGAGCCCAGGCAGCCCGGGGGGGTGTGCCACGGATTTGCGGCTCCTGGTGGGTAACTTCCAACAAAGGCATTTCCGTAATTACTATGTTGTTAATAACCACAAATAATTATAAAGTAGGCGTCTTTGCATCAAACATTCCCTTTTTATGACTGCAACAAGATTTTCTGGGAAAAGGAAAAGGTAAAACTGAAGTAATCATCATGGTTTGTGTATGAAGTCAGAAGACAAGGGAACCTCTGTACAATTAGGTTAGAGAGCATAGACGCTACCCGGGGATAGTACAGAGCAGACTGGTTAGCCCAAGTTTTATTAGTCATTTATATTTAAATGGAATTAACACACACCCCACAAAAAAGTATCCGTTTCAAAGGGCTCAGCTTTCCTACTCTATTTTGTCCTATCCCAATCATGCTTTCCAAAAAGGAATTGGTGTCTTCCTTTTGCTTTGTTCTCATCTCCATCTCCTTGTCCCGCAATTTGCAGTTTTAATAACGGTATTTTGCAATGACCTAATTTGGGGGCAGAATGAAATATGGAGTTGTATGTTTCACAACGTGTGAACGACACCATTAGCAGTGATATACCCATAGTGATTTAGCTGACATACTTTTAACAAAGTCCTTTCAAACTATTCTTGGCAAGAATGTTAGACATTACTCATAGAATGAGTATTACTACATAGAAATGCATAATTAAATTGATAATATAAGAACTTTAAAAAATGTCTTCCAATCCGCCAATGCAATGGTTTATCCTTCCTGCATTAAATAATTGTCCTTCTACAATTATAGTTTTTCTGAAACTTTACTGATGTATGCAAGTAACCACAAACCAACAAAAAGTAAGCAAAGCAGTAGAATGTGAAATAATGTGCAATAAATTATATCGGATTTTAAAATGCGAGTTCTGTGATCCTGATGTGTGATTACAGTGCTCGTGAACTCGAGACTTTGTCCTCAGTGCTCAGTTTTTCCCTGTGGAAATCCATGCCTTTCTCCTAACAGAGGGTCAGTTATAATTTAAAACTATACTTTCCTACAAAAAATGAAGTGAATTTTTGGCTTGAATTGTTTGCTTCAGCTGGCTGCCTTGATTAAATAAACAAGCACTATCTAACTGTCCATTTTTCTCTTAACCTGAAAGGGTTAAATTATCAGAAACCAGAGAGTTTTCTGAAAAGTTACTGCAAGAAAAACAATCCGTGGATTCTGCCATTGGCGAGTCTGAATTCTGTGTGGTATACATGGCAGATTGGGGGTTCTTGTGAAGGCTGGTTACTTGAAGTGAGCATATCACAGTGGTTTGGGGGATGAGTTATTTCAAACTGTTCTAGTCTCCAGAGATCTCAGATAAAATTTGTAACAAATCTCTGTAACTTTAAAGTTCTTAAAGGTGACCTCACCCTGACCTCTTGTTTCCCAGCTCCATTTTATTTTTTATCCCTATCTGATAGATTTTTTAATGTTTTAACTTACTGGTATGGATTGCCCTAAGCATCTCCAATCTTGTTTTAGAATGAGTTGAAGATTGAGTAAATAATAAACATTATCAGGAAATAACTTTAAAAATGCTGTTCATGCTATTTACAACAAACAAATGCACAATGGAGGCCTAACAGAAAGGCCTCCAATTCCCGTCGTAGTAGAATAAAACCCAAACTCTCTAATGTGGCTTACAAAGTTCTGCATGATTTGACTTCTACCTACCTCTACTCTTGAGGTTTTGATCATACAACTAGAAAAAAATAAATCAATGATGATCAAATTCTCAAAAAAAGGAATGTGAATTACAGGAGTCATGAAATCTTTCCTGACCTGCTTTTTTTTTTTAATTTTTTTATTCTTATGTTAATCCCCATACATTACATCATTAGTTTTAGATGTAGTGTTCCATGATTCATCGTTTGTGCATAACACCCAGTGCTCCATGCAGAATGTGCCCTCCTCAATACCCATCACCAGGCTAACCCATCCTCCCACCCCTCTCCCCTCTAGAACCCTCAGTTTGTTTTTCAGAGTCCATCGTCTCTCGTGGTTCGTCTACCCCTCCGATTTCCCCCCCTTCATTCTTCCCCTCCTGCTACCTTCTTCTTCTTCCTTTTTTTTTTTTTTTCCTTAACATATATTGCATTATTTGTTTCAGAGGTACAGATCTGAGATTCAACAGTCTTGCACAATTCACAGCGCTTACCAGATCACATACCCTCCCCAGTGTCTATTACCCAGTCACCCCATCCCTCCCACCCCACCCCCCACTCCAGCAACCCTCACTTTGTGTCCTGCGATTAAGAATTCCTCATATCAGTGACTGACCTGCTTTTTTTTCATTCAAATCCCATACAGTATATTCTGTCCCCTTTGCAACCTTCCAGTGTATTCCAGGCTTGAGAAAATTAATATATTTGCACTTATAATATATTTGCACTTATGATCCAGTTTCCTCACTATTGAAGGGGGAAGACTAGAAGGTACATTGTGGTGTTGAAATGGAATTGGAGGTTAAAAATTAAACATGTGGGGTTGTGTGTGGGTGTGAGTTGTATCACGGGGAGAAATCCCACATGATGAAGAAATGCAGGCAGTTTCTAAGAGCTGTGGGTACCTTCCAGCTGACAGCCTACAAGGAGTTCCTGTCAGCAAGAGAATGGATCCCTCAGTCTTACAAATACAAGGAACTAAATTCTGCTAACAACCTGTGTGAGTGCAGAAGTCGATATTTCCCCATTCGAGCCCCAGATGTGACCACAATCCCAGCCAATATATAGACTTGCAGCCTTGTAAGATGCTAAGACATTTTCATAATTGACAACTTAATAATAATGAGTCTTATAATCCATGAACATAGTGGATTTATCCATTTATTCTAGTCTTTTAAAATGTCTCCCAGTAATGTAGTTTTTAGTATATTTGTCTTACACATATTTTGTTGGATATATCTCTGTATCTACTTCAGCTCTGTCACTGAGAAGTACTAGAAGCTATGACATTCCAGTAGCAATGAGTACAGTTAGTACCCAGATTTTGGTGTCTAAAAACCATTCTTCACTTTAAAAGGAATCAGAAGTCTGTGGAGAAAAAATTCCAGGTCTAGGACACAGAAAGTATTAGATAAGCCTGGAAAATCTTGTTTTGCTAGAAAATTAGAAAGGCTTGAAAAGATGGCAATATATCAGAAGGACAGAGGATATATCTGCAGGGAGCTTCCAATGGACAAATCTAGGGCAATTTAAATATCAAAATTGGGATACAGTAATAGTAACAAATTTTAACAGCTGACTAAAATAAGAAACTGTAATTTCACTCTGCTATAAGTCAATCACTAGATAAGTAAGTAAATAGGAAAGAAGAGAATGTTCCTTACAGTAGAATGCTAACTAATGAATACAAAAGGAATTATGTAGTAAGAGAATCATTAATGGTTACTAAAACTAATCAGTGAGAGTTTGATGATGAATGGAGTATCTCCTCATAAGTTTTTTATTAGTCATCATGGGGAAATAGTATCTTTACAATGGAGAGAACTTATGGATACCTTTCTAACCAAGTGATCAATTTAATATCACTTATATTGGGACAAACCAAGCATATAAACCTCTAAATAGGATATTCTGAGAAGGACACAACATCACTTCTATGTTATTCCTGAACCTAAATCTAATCCTGAGGATCGGATTGAGGGATTTCCAAACAAACACACGCAGTTTGAGGCACTTTGTACAAAATAACTGGCCTGTATGCTTCCAAGACTTCAAGGTCAAGAAAGACAAAGAAAGACTGAGGACCTAGTTATTTACTACTTTGTAACAATATTACCACAATGTTAGTGGCTTGAAGCAACACACATTTGTCATCTCCCAGTTTTTGTGAATAAGGGGTCTAGGCTCCGCTAAACAGTGTCTTCTGCTCAGGGGAGGTCTCACAAGGCAACCGGGCGGGAAGCCAGAGCTGCCTCATCTGAGGGTCAGTGGGAGAAGGATCTGCTTCCAAGTGCACTCAGGCTGTTGGCAGAATCCAATTCTTTGTGGTTGTAGAACCGAGGGATTCTTTTTCTTGCTGAGTTCTGGCTGGGACCCCAACAGGCTGTTGGCTGGGAGCCCCCCTTTGCCTCAAGAAGCCGCCTTCATTTCCTTGCCTTCATTATCCCACCATGACTGCCTGCTTCCTTGGAGCTAGCAAGGGAGAGAGACCCCAGCGAGACGGGACTATAATCTTATGTACATAACCATGCAATCACATACACATAATTACATACATCCCATCACCTTTGCCATATTCTGTTTGTGGGGAACAAGTCAAGCTTCTGCCTTCACACAAGGGGAGGGGAATCACAACAGGGTGTGAACACCAGGAGAAGGATCCGTGGAGGCCACCTCAGGAATCCTTCTAGAATAACACTGTCATAAAGCATAGTGAGTGCGATGTAGCATGTGTCCAGTAGATATTTGTGGGGGCAATTTGAAAAAAAAAGTTTTCTTAAATTACTTTGGCAGTACTTTTGTGTATTGTATGTAAATATGTTAGCAATTGATCTTTGAGGAAGGGTTATTTCTTTTCATGGTCTTTGGAAGTCTTATCACACTTAATAAAATCACCTTTTACTCTTAGCAGCCCTGGGCTCACGTGAAATAGTTTTCTGAGGACGGTGTTGGAATACACGCTTCAAGCTGTTGCACAGCAGGGATCAGCTTAATATCTTAAATGTGT